CCAGGGAAGCCCACACCTTTCTTATTTTCACATTTATTCTATTTTATTTTGCTTGGTTGTATATGTGTCTGTGTCTTCTACTGTACTAGGCCCTCTAGTCACCCCATAAGTAGCTATTGAGCATGAACTGTCTGCTAACCTCTGTGCTAGGTTATGGCATTACAAAAACAAAAGGCATATCCCGGGCCTCAAAGAGCCTTTAGTCTGGTAGGACCAGAAACCAGTGAACGTGTAGTTAGAATACATTGTAACGGGCTATGTTTGAGGGTCCTGTGGGATCTCCTAAAAAGAGAATCTGATGCCACACAGGGAATGTAAATAATGGTTTTCCAGAGAAGCTCACACCTACCTAAGTCTTGGATCACTAGCTAGTAGCTGGGTAGATGTGGGTTTAAAAGGCTTTTCAGGCAGGAAACAATGTGTAATGGCCTAGAAACACAAGAGAGTGTGGCTGCATTCTGAAGATGCTTGAAAGGCAGGAGAATAGGGTATGTTTGGGGAGTGTGTGGAGGCTGTAGAAGTTAGACTGAAGCTTGTGAGTTCAGGAGTTTATTGTGATGATGAGGAGGAGCCACTGAAGGGTTTGAAGGTAGGAAATGACTTCATCAGCTTTGCCTTTTAGGAAGATCAGTGTGTGTGGAGGCAGCAGAGGAGTGAATGTCCTGTTTCTCTGACATGGGAGGTTCTGAGGTTTGCAACCATAGTGCCATGTCTGCTACAGGGTCATAAAATATAATGGATGAAGAGAGCTTAGAATGAGGTGAGGCTGGAGGGAAGGTTACCATTTAGGCTACTGCAGTAATAGTAAGGGTGTGTCCATGTCCTGCCTGGGGGTAGAGGAGAGTCAGCAGACCAAGATTTCCATCATGGCTTCACCAGTTTCTAAGGTGTGGCCTTGGGCAGGCTTCAGAACCTCTTGTGTAAAATTGGTAAAATGCGGATAAAAATACCTACCTTGCAAGGTTCTGAGAATTTGAGCAAATAGTTGTAAAAAGCCTGCTCCTGTACTATTAAATACATAAGGGACCTCTTATCATAAAAATAATAGTTTTAAGATTTTAAAAAATTAAGTAAGTAAGTAAGTAAGTAATTTTTGGCTGTGTCGGGTCTTAGTTGCAGCATGTCGGGATCTTTCGCTGTGGTGTGCGGGCTCCAGAGTGCGTGGGCTCTGTAGTTGTGGTGCACGGGCTCGGGCTTAGTTGCTCCACGGCATGTGGGATTTTAGTTCCCCGACCAGGGATCAAACCCATGTCCCCTGCATTGGAAGGTGGATTTTTCACTGGACCACCAGGGAAGTCCCAGTTTTAAGATTCTTAATGCTTAGTATATTCCCTGGTCCACAGTAGGTGATCGTTAGCCTAAAATCATCTGCCAACACTGTGGTTTTATTTATACATCTTTTTTTTTTTTTTTTTTTTTTGGGGTGGTACGGGCTCTCACTGTTTTGGCCTCTCCCGTTGCGGAGCACAGGCTCCGGACGCGCAGGCTCAGCGGCCATGGCTCACGGGCCCAGCCGCTCCGCGGCATGTGGGATCTTCCCGGACCAGGGCTCGAACCAGTGTCCCCTGCATTGGCAGGCGGATTCTTAACCACTGCGCCACAGTGATGGTGGTCTGGGTGGGTTGGGCATGAGAGAATTATCCTGAGATCAAGAAGGGAACAGTTGGTTGATATGAATATCGTACCAATTTAAACATTCTTTAAATGCCAACAAATTATATATGGTCATTCAGCCATTCCCAGCCCTCACCCAGAAGTGACACATGCACGTGTGCATACACTCTTGTCGCTGATGTTTTAATGTGCTCACTGCTTGGGCTGCTAAAATGTGTGCGCTTCTTCAGCGTGTCATCATCGTTGTTGACTGTGTCCCCCTGAAATTTTGCTCCTCCTCAGTCTTCTTCTGAAATGTTTGTAAAGATGATAATAGGGGTTTAATCCCAATTTGTTCTCCTTTAGGTTCTGCCTGGTCATCCTGGTTGACAGGAGTTCCTTCCCTGTGAACTTCTGCACGACTTATATTATTCTGATTAAATGTTATCTACTGCCTTGTCTTATTATTTGTCTATATGTCAGTAAATTCCCCTTTTCCTTGATGTTAGTTTTCTTTACAAAATAATGGAACGATGGCATGTTTATGTGTTTTTGACATGACTTAAACCCCACAGAAACCTTGTGTTTGAAATATGTTAAACAGGTTAGAATATTCTGTTCCTAAGTTTTCAAAGTATATGGCAGTGATTTTCAGAGTTTTTGATCTCAGGACCCCTTTATAAGTTATAAAAATTATTGAAACCCCAAAGAACTTTCATTTTATGGGTTTTGTCTATTGATATTTAATGTATTAAAAGTTACTGAGAAAATTTTAAGTCACGAGAATACACAAGCACGCATTCCGTTAGCTGTGAGGACAGTGATATAGTCACATGTCATCATGTGTTATATAGCCTCTGGAAAACTGTGCTGGACCCTTGGTGAGAGAAAGAGAGTGAACAGGGCAAATAATGTCTGAGAATTACTGTGAAAACAGTTTTGAACTCGTGGATCTGAAACTGTGCACCTCAGATTGGGATTGAACCCACGTGCCAGGACTCAAACCCAGCCTAAACCCAGATTGGGATTTGAACTCATGTGGCTGGGACTCGAACCCGGCCAAAAGCCACAGTCTTCCAACTGAGATCACACACTGGTTTCAGGACTTAATGAAACTCAGGTTCTTGATGTCTCATCGCAGAAAGAATTCAGTGAGAGACAAAGTGATAGGTAAGAAGTGGGTTTATTTAGAGGGAAACACTCCACAGACACAGTGTGGGCCATCTCAGAAGGTGAGAAAGGCACCAGGGTATGGGGTTGTCAGTTTTTATAGGGGTGGGTAATTTCATAGGCTAATGAGTGGGAGGAGTATTCCAGCTATTTCAGGAAGGGGAAGGGATTTCCAGGAATTGGGCAACGGCCCACTTTTTAATCCTGTGGTCTGTCTTGGAACTGTCATGGCGCTTGTGGGTGTGTCATTTAGCTTGCTGATATGTTACAGTGAGCGAATACTGAGGCTCAAGGTCTAGTGGAAGTCGACTTGTCCACCATCTTGGACCCATTTGGTTCTAATCAGTTTATGTCATGTTCTAGAGCTATGTCATTCTTTCAAAGGTTGTGCCCTGCCCCCTTCCCTCCTGTTTCAGATCCACTGAAAGGGTCTTGGGGACTGTCTGGGGTCCTTGGACCACAGTTTGAGAACTGCTGGCATGTAGATATGAGAGTTTTTATAAATGACACTTTTACATCTTTTTGGCAACAAAATAACATAAGGATGGAAAGACTGCCAAACATCTGTTGTCAAAATGCACTCAACGTATTTTCTTTAAAAACAAACAAACGAACAAAACTAGTTTCTAGCTTTTGTTAAGACATGTTCTTCACCTTGAAAGGGCAGATGTGTGTATTTTGGAAAATCTTCTAGGTGCCATACTATTAACAGACATTTGCCATCCCAGAAAAGTTTAGCAAACTTGGAACACCAGTATGTTTGTAAAAGAAGAATATACAGCTGCTCTTTAAGTTCTGGAAGTCTTATACATGCTTGGCCAGATGATAACCAGAGAACTTCTTTGAGGCACAAGAGTTTCATGGTTACTCACCATCTCATTGTCAAGTTTAGTTATGATCCTATTTATTTAAAGTATGATCCAATTTTTATGAAATTAACCACATTGATGTCACTTAATGCATAAACTGCACTGCATCACGAAGCAAATGGTAATTACGTAATGGTACCATTACCCCCCACGCTCTGGAACTTTCACACTTTTTGAGGATTCTTCCTGAACCTCATGTGCCCCAAGATGTCTGACATAGGGATTGTTTGAGGAGGCCAGTGTCCATTGAAATTAAATATCAGAAAAGTTTATAAACAGGAGTTCTGGTATTTTCTTTTGTTACCTTGGTGAATCTTTGTGTGCCTTTGAGATGTCTATTCTCTCTGACAGTGAATGGCCTTGGCTGTTACAACAGCCTCTTCTTGCTCTTGCTTGGCCTTTTCCAGGCTGTCCTCTGTATTGCTACTCAAGTGATCTTTCTAAAATACAGATAGGACTATATCATTTCTCTGCTTACTCCCTTCACTGGTTCTCCATTGCCAGTGGGATAAATTTCAGACCCCTTAGCATGGCATCTAAAGCCTCTCTACGTTTTTACTGCTTCAGCTTCTTCACTGAAGCTTTTCTGAAACCTCACAGACAGTCATAAATTTCCACCACCTCATAATGTCCGTACCTGTTTAACTACATGCATCACACTGTTCTTGAGGGCAGGTACCACACTGTGTTCCTACTGCTATACTCAGGTGTGTAGTAATGGCTTCTGCCTGGACTGATAAGATGGCATAGCTTCCATCGTGGTTCCAGCATCGTTATTCTGCAATATTATATTTTTTTCCTTGCCCTTTTTAAAAAAAGATATGAGCAGATAAACAATGTGGAACTACTACATAGGCCTAAGACATCTGAAGTCTCAGAGACATAATAGCAATGAAAGGGAACATTTATCTTGTATTTTCTAATGATGTATTTTACACATACAAGAACAGAATAATATGATGATAGCCATCACCAAATCTTAATATGCCATATTACTTCAGTTTTTGTTTTTTTTTAAGAAACAGAACATTACAGTTCCAGTAAAAGCCTCATGTATTTTTCCCTGGTCTCCTCCGTCCTTCACCAGAGAAAACACTATCTTGAATTTAAAGTTTTAAAATTCCCATGCATGTTTTTATGCTCTTGTGGTTTTGCTACATGTTGT